CTAATTAAAATGGATGAGATATCCGTAAATATTCGTAAATATCCGCAAATATCTATTTATTTTCCGGATATCCGTTTTTCCGGATATCCGTATTTTTTCGAAGCAAAGCAAATACCAAAATTAGATATCCGTAACATTCGAAGCAAATCACAAATACCTTAAAAAACCCGGATATCCGATCCGTGCCCACCCCTAATTAATAGACTGAAAGTTGAAACCATTGTGTTCCAAAATAAAGAGAGACTGAAACAACCATTAATGTATTCCAGATATATTGTGTGTTACGTTTGAAATCTTACAGTTTCTTCCCTATATTTTGTGGGTTTGGTGAATTGGATAAATAGATCCTTCGTAATCAATGTTTGAGATAATAAATATCACAAAGAATGGTTCGGGAAACAAATTGAACATCTTACAATACGTGAAAGATGAGAAAAGATAACCCTCGTGACCGCCAATGACACTTTTCTACGTGACATACATTAAAACATAACTATACTATTCCTTACTCCAAAACTTAAATAAACCATCTCCCACCACCCCAAATTCATTCCTCTCACGCCACACACCATTACACCAACCATGTCTTCTTCTCCTTTACCATCAGTTTCAAATCTCTAACGCAATATCCAAAACCAAAACAATGAAAGATCTGTCTTTCTTCTTCCTCAAGAAACACTTCCTCGCCTCGAGAATGCGAGGACGAGGTCCACGTAGCGGCTTTGCGAGCTCTTGTGGTGGCGATGGCTCGACTTCCACACTGAACCAACACCAAAACATCGATGTGAGACCATCCGTCACACCTGACAACACTCCTTTTGGTGGAGGGTCACCGAGAACGTTGGAGGATATGATACTTCAGCTAGAAGTTGAAGAAGATCTTGTTCGAAGAGCTAGGTTACGTGAATCTTACTACGGCTCTTTTGATAATTGCGACGACGATGATGATAACTCTTATCAACCCGTTCGAATGTCATGTGTTAACAGTTCCGATATCATGAGGTACGTCATGGTTATATAGTATTCACTCATCATAGTCAAGAACTCTAACAAATGAATATATAATATAGTTATTTTTATTTGCTTGCCGTTAAGGTCGGCGAGGAACGCTTTGAACCAGTACCCACGTTTCTCATTGGACGGTAAAGATGCGATGTACCGGTCGTCATTTCAGCGCCAGCTTGGTGCTGGTGCTGATGTGGTGAGACATGGTGGACGTAGATCAAACGGCGGGGACGAACGGAGATCGAGCCAGACAAAGCGCCTGCCTCGGACTGTGGCTGGGGAGAGTGTGGTGTGGTGTGAGACAGGGGTGGTTGCGAAGCTGATGGGTCTAGAGATGGTACCGGTTCCGGTAAAGGGGAAAAGGGGAAAAGATAAGTTAGGGACTCTGCTCAAGAGAGAGCGTCTGAGGAGGAGAGATCAGACACTCGACATTAATGGTCTGAATGGTCTGACTCAGACCAATGAAGCTTCTTGCTCGTCTGGAGGGTTTAACGCAATGAGACAGAACAGAGCGGTCGAGTCACCTGGTCGTGTGGGTGGATGGCCCACACTCCGTTTCCCATAAGTTGCGTTTCTAAAATTAGTTATGAAACTGGCTTAACCCTTTTAAAAACCTTCATGTCAAGTATTACTTGATAGATTCAATAACTTCTTATATGTTTCTTTTAGATCTTTGAGTATAAGCTAATGGTCTCAAATATGAGGAAAAGAAACATAATCTGCCTCAAGCTAAGGGTTTGGATTTAGACAGAGTTAGATGTTTATACACGAGAAATATGCTTGAAACAACTTACACACACAAAAAAAAACTCAAGACTTGGTGGTTTTGTGTTGTATATCAGACGGAAACTCCTATCTCAGACATCCCCATGATTCTTTTGTTCAATGCAATCCTCTTCACTCTCAAGAGCGAAGTCACAGAAGCCACCTAGTGATTTATGACAAGGGAATTTGAATGACTTTTCATTGCAAATGAAGCTTAAAGAATCTCGAAGAGAGAATGATAAACCTATATAGAGCGAAACTGAGAGGTGGAGTTCTCACGGATATAACGAGCAGAACGAATCATCGGTAACGTCGGTTGCTTCCGTTTCGCTCATCGTCGGAGATTTAGCACCGAGACGAGCAAGCCTTCTCCTCCTGTTTTCAAATTCAGCGCCGGTTTGTTTTGATTCGGTTCAAATTAAGTCCAAATTCGACGTGGTTTACGTCTGGTTAGCTCGGTTTGGCCTTTGATTGCAGTTAATGGGCTTTCTTTTCTCACATTTACGGTTAATGGGCTTTATATTGGGCTGCAACTAAATATTATTTTATTTTCTTCTTTCTTTTCTTCGTCTCCCACCATCTCTGCAAACTCCACCCCAGAAGAGCTTCTTGGAGGAGATCTAGAGAAGGAAGAACATCACTATTTGACCTCTCGATCTTCAGAAAGTAGGTAAATTTTACAAGGTATGGTTTATTTATTCGTTCGTTTCTTCTAAATCGTTTTGTGTTTGCATAGGAAGCTTGTTTTTTAAATAAATGTTAAATTTTATTTATTCAAACTTTTGTACATATGATGTAACATTGTGATTGAAATGTAAAGAGTTTGACTAATCTTCTATCTTAATAAATGCATAGGAAGCTTGATTTTTCTTACAAATCTCGTAAGACTTTCCTGTCTGAAATTTGTGAATATGTTCGTGATGAAGATGATTCTCCTCGAATGCCATTCCCTTGATTTAGATCTTCTAGGTGGACAAAGAAAGATGGAAACTTTATAGGTTTTGTCATCATGTTCCTCATGTTCTTGTTGTTGTTTCAGAGACGAGAGACAGAGGTTGGTGGAGGAAGAAGCAATGTCGGCTAGGTATTGGTGTTATATGTGTTCACAAGCTATGAATCCAATCATTGACGCCGAGCTCAAATGTCCCTATTGCCAAAACGGATTCGTTGAGGAAATGAGCGGTGAGGTTCAAGACCAAGAGATCGATTTTGGTACAGACCAAGCATTGTCTCAATGGGGACCAATCTTGGTTGGAATGATGAGCAATCCCAGGAGACGTAGAAGGTTTAGGAGGACAGAGTTTGATGTTGATAATGATGATGGCAATGACATCAACAATGTCGATAATCATCGTCGTCGTCTTCGCCACAGGGAAGATGATGGAGAGATTGAGTTAGACAGGGAGGTTGATTCTATCATCAGGAGGAGACGAAGATGCTCAGCTGCGATTTTGCAGTTGCTTCAAGGCATTCGTGAAGGGACTAACTCAGATCACGAGAGCTCTGTAATTAGAGATTACTTAGCTGGACCGGAGTTAAACCACTTGCTTCGAAGTCTAACTGATAACGATCAAGGGACACTTCCAGCAAGAAAGGAAGCAGTGGAGAATCTCCCAACGGTTAAAGTATGTGAGACATTGCAATGCTCGGTTTGTTTGGATGAGTTTGAGAAAGGGAGTGAAGCTAAAGAGATGCCGTGTAAGCATAAGTTTCATATTAGGTGTATAGTACCGTGGCTTGAGCTTCACGGCTCTTGTCCCGTGTGTAGGTATGAGCTACCTCCTGATGGTGATGGGTTAAAGGTTGATCTGGTTGGAACGAGAAGGAGAAGTTTTGGGATTAACTTAAGTAATGAGAATGTGGAAGAGGATGTAAGGAATGGGAGCGAGAGGAGGTTCTCACTACCATGGTCGTTGAGTGGATTGTTTTCTTCCTCCTCTTCGTCATCAGGATCAACTTCAGGGTCGTCTCAGCTCAATGAGAACTCAAGTTCAAGATAAAAGAAGAAACAAAACAGTTTCTGCCCTCTTTCTATATCCGTCAGGTTGAAGTACATTAGATCACTTTTTGAGGAATGGAGTAGTTTCTTTGTTTGTTTTGTATCTTCTTCCTAGGAACAAATGTTACTCTCAAGTGAATTCTTTGAATCTATCTATTTGCAAACTTTGCACAGTTAAATTGATTATCGATGGGTTTGTTTGTACATCAAATATTTTTTGGGGTTTAATAGTAAGATATGAAATGATAGGCAATGGATTCAGATTTGGTGGAATTTATGTTGAGAGGAAGAGACATGTGATCATGGTTTAGTTGTGAACTGCATCGCACTATCTCCAGATACGAATCCAAAAGTTGTGTGATCACGAGTCAAATAAATAAACATCTATGTTTGCTATCATCAACACAACTCTAGCAACAAACAAATAAACACAAAAATCGTGCAACACAAATAAGTACGGTAGATGAAAGAAATCTGTTTTGGGTAACTGGAGTGAGTCTGTCCGAAGGAGTTGTCATAAAACTCCATTCACAAAGAGATATCAGCTGTCTTACCAATTTATAATGTAACTTACCTCTACATATCGCAGTGGCCTATTAGCTCAGTTGGTTAGAGCGTCGTGCTAATAACGCGAAGGTCACAGGTTCGATCCCTGTATAGGCCACTTTTTAAATATTTTTTTGGCATTTTAGCCAAATGTTTTGTCGTGGGTTTCTAGTACTTGCTTTTCTAATATTGTTTTATATATAATGTAGCGGATACGTGTATCAAAAGGCCTATTAGCTCAGTTGGTTAGAGCGTCGTGCTAATAACGCGAAGGTCACAGGTTCGATCCCTGTATAGGCCACTTTTTTAATATTTCTAGCCTTATATATGCTCACGTTTTGTGTCAGATAGTCAGACTGTTAATACTTAATACGGCGTCGTGTGTATTCTGCTGCTTGGATATTTTCATTTATTTTTGTTCTCCAGATATCATTATCCGCTTCTCACTAAACAGTAAACACGACTACGAAGCAGCAAGGAGAGCTCGAAACCAAAAAAAAATGGAGGGAACCATCTCTCCGCTCTCCCTACGTTCTTCCTCGAATCTATTTTACTTCTCCAACAACCTTTCACTAGACTCTCACCGCACTCTAAGCTTCACATCCTTGGATTCTCTCCGGCCAACGAACTTGTTTAGACGGCCGTCGTCACTACGTCTGTTTCTTTCTCCGCCGAGAAGCTCTCTCCGGTAATTTTATCTGGTTTTGTCAAAGACTAAGAGAACCCTCACTCTGTGGATCAGTTACATGATTCTTATGGATTTTTTTTTAAATGCTTGTTACGTGACTTCATGATTGGTTTGTAACAGAGCCTGGTTACGAGTTTGACAAGAGTTGTTTGTTGAGATACAATCACATGAGCTTTGGAGGACCTCCTGTTAAAACAGAAACTAGTGAAGAGGAAGATGAGCTTGTGCGCCGTGATGAAAACGAGTCCAAGATTGGTATAAAGTTCTCCTCACTTATATTGCAAAGAGATTCTCTTAGGGCGCTTTTACTTGTTGTTGATTTCTCCTCCTGTTTCTGCAGAAGCACAAGTGCTTTCAGCTCCTCCAAAGCTGGTGTACAGCAAACTTGTTTTACGGTAAATCTATTTAAGCGTATCAACTAGATTTTGACCCGCGCTTTCAAAGCGCGGGATACATTTCTGGTGAAAACATTATATAATGGTCGGATCTTTTTATTTAAAGTATTTTTGAGTATAAAATCTATAATCCGAAGTCAAAACCCAACCCAAACTACAAAAACCATATTCATACCCGGTCTTAATGTAAAAAAGTCTTGTATAGCGGTAATGGTATAAAACATATCAAAACCTGACGTATTATTAGTCAATCTAAACCGATAATCCAAAAATATTTGAAAAGTTTTGAAAACCGATTTGAATGTTCAAATTAATCACAAATATATATTTTGAAACATAAATATATAATTTGAATATTCAATTCTATTTTCAAGTGATTTTTAAAAATAATTATTTAAATTTTATAAAATACCTTAAATATCTGATTTTATACAAATAAGTATTTATTTCTTATGTCTCACTTTAAAATTGTGGATTAAACTTCAGATATACCCGGACCGAACCAGTATAAACCGCATTTTAACGATATATGACTATGGTTTTAGAATGTGATACAAATTAGAACCAAAATCATTCTGTTATTTCTAAACCTCAATTCGTATTTACAAATTTATCACAATGAGACTTAAGATGTGATATAAATTAGAACTAAAATTCAAAATACCCAACCCGTATCCTAGCGGATACATGAATGCTCAAGTCTAACTTAAAACCTAATTTAGATGGTCTAGAAATTTTTATTCAAAATTTATTTACCCAAAATATAAATTATATATATATACTTTTATAAGGAAACATTTTTTTGAAGAATATTAATTAAATTAAAATTTGTATAAATATAATTTTTTGAAAGTAAGATAATTCATTTATATAAGCCACCTCATACTAATTTCATTTATATTTCAAAATTAAAGGTATAATATGAATCTATTTTTATTTTTTACATTTTTATGAAATAATCTGCAACAAACTATAATTGTAAATCATAATATTTAGTCGAGTATACCATATAATCAAATAATATTAATGTCGGCTAAATTTTGTATTGTATTTTATATTAAATTATATCCTAATATTATATGTATAAAAATATAAAATTATTTTCTATTTTTAATATCTTATTTTAGAATTTTGTTTTAGTAATTTTAAGTATGTTGTAAGCTATATAAATATTTTATTCTGTAAATGTAATTCATTTAGTTTATAATTTATAAAAATATATATTAAATTATTTTATAAATATTATTTAAAGTAATTTTTAATATGAATATTTATATATATAAATACTATAGAAGTTTTTTTCTTATTCTATAAATCAAATGAGTTAATATTCATTTATAATTGAATTCAATATTATTTACGATTTTTATTATTAAAATAATATTAAAACAATAAATATTTATATTTTAAATAAAAAGATATTATAATATATTGTTAAAATGCAATTTGAAAAGAGTAGTTAAGAAGATCTTTTTGATATCTTATTTTGAATATATTTAAAATAATATGTTAAGGTTATGTGTGTATTTGATATAATAATTAAGTATATTGTATGTAAAATAACACAAAATTAAATAAATATAATGATACAACCTAGAGTACTTCCAAATAGATAAAAATTGCTTCTATTTAATAGTATTAAAAGAAAATAACATTAATTGTGTTTATACATTAATACATATTTAGTTACAACAATATATGCATAAAACAACCCAGACTACATCTCAATCATTAATTACTTCTCTAATAATTTATATTCTATAAAGTGTTCTACAGATATCAACTAATATGTATAAAGAAAATAGTTGGACATTTTGTTTGAATCGTGTTTCGTATAAAATTTTTTGTTCATGGTCTATATTTTGGTTACAAGTTCTTTCATTCTATATGCATTGGACTTACGATTGTCAAAGTAATATTGGTTGGAGGGTGATTTTTACAGTTTTTTCGACAGACCATCAATATCATATTTGTAAGTATATTTGATATATAATAATATCACACTGTGGTATTCAGGAATTTTGGTACGTAAGATTTGATTACTATTGTTTTAATATTTTTCATTCGAATAGTTGTTAATAGTAATAGGAATAATCTGAAACTTTATGCTGTTGATAACTTAATATAATCTATCATCTTTTTATAATGAGACTAGGGTAAGTCCGCGCTTCGCGCGGAATGTGATTTTCCATTATTATTTTTGTTTTATATTTTATTATTTTGGATATTTCAATTGTATACTATATGTTAATTGTTATTTTATGATTTTCTTTTATTCTTTCTATTGAACTTGTCTGTTGTAATGAGTTTCATGTTTGATTTTGTTTCAATTAACTAAATTTGCTAATACAATTAGTACGATGGTTTGAATACGTTTTTATTTTTGTTTTGACGATAATATCTTTTAAGTTGTTTATTATATATTAGATTAAAATATGTTATGGTTTCAACAGAACGCATAACGATTTTGCTTACATAAACAAATAAGCATAACTATTTGTATCAGTTGGATTAATTCAAATTGATCAACCTTTTCCATGATTTTTCCGTCCAGTGGATATTTTTTCATCCAAAGGAACTGATCTCAGCAGTTTACATAACCAATACTAAATATGATCAATTAATCACATATACAAAAAGGCTGATTAAGAGTTTAAAACTTTGGTGGTGATTTAATCTTATATACCTTTCTGAAGGTGGTATGTATTTGTCTGTAATCACTTTCTGTTTTTATAACCTTGATGTTAACTTTGTAATGAGTTAGCTAAATAATCAAATTAAACAAAATGACCCTTTTAAATTATTTATATACTTTTTGAGCAATTGGTTCATATACTTTAAGATGAATTCCACTGCATGTATGGTATTGGCGAATGTAAGGGTTATGAAAGTATTCTTCAAATGCCAATTAATCACGAATTTGTTAGTGGTACTTTGTCGTCCATAAAGTTATGAAAATAATGATGTATAAGAAATAATATAAACCATTAAAATAATGTAGACAAAAATATTAAATTATCAAAGATATCCAAAGAACTTTTTTTTTGTTTCTTTACCTGACAAATTCTTAATCTCAGCCAAATAGTATATACTCAAACCTACTTTGACTTGAGTTTCTTAACTATGGCCTCAAACTCTTCCACCATCTCCTTATGTGTATTGTAGGATATCTTATATGGATTTATTTCCTCCATCTTTTCGCCATGTTGTGACTTTAGCAATCATATTTTCAGCTCTTTTCATCCTGCATACGACATGATTTTGCTTTTCTACTTGCAGCCACGTAGACTCAGTTGTTGTACGTTCATGTAGGTCACTTTCAACTATTATTTTTGGGCCATACTTTTCCCGGCGTCTCTTGTTCTTCTCGCTTCATCCCCAGCCCAATCCCTGCAAACATAAATACCAAATCCGCAAATGACTTGAAGAGCAGATGTCTCTAAGTTTGATTCGCACATTCTTAATATAAAAGCTTGTTAACTGTCAATAATCTATGTAATTGGCATATGTTGTAAAAATGATGAGTTTTCTCGTGTAATCTCTTTTGCTGCTCGTTTTTTTTTTCTTAGAAAAGTAAAAAGAAAGTTTAAGATGATATATACAATACCTGAGTATAAGCATTCCGTTCAACTCCAAAATTATTTTGCAACCAGAGTATCTCTTGGTTATAAGCCTTTGGACGGCAATGAAATAAGTGCATGTGTTTTCGGTGGTGGTCAGTGACCACTGACCACAAATCTAGGGATGTTGTTTTGTTCTTATGGGACAGTCAAGACAACAGAATTTGTGAATGGAGACATTAAGTCGTATCAGCAATAAGTGGTAACACAAATGAAAAATGCTCAGGAAAATTAGAACCAACACAGATATGGTAAATAAAAATGGAAAAATGAAAATAATACTTTTTTGGGGTCGGAAAATGAAAATAATACGTTATCTAGATGTTTTAAACATGGAAATTGAAGGAGTAATAGAAGTGAAGACCTGATGTTGGTATTGTCAATTAGGATTTCTAACTTTTGTGTGTCCGGTCTAATTAATAAATTTGGAGTGTCCTCCGAACAAATATCTTCGCTGACCCATGAGGAAGTGAGGAAAGTTTCCACCTTTTGGGGTCCTAAATAACTCACTGTGAAAACTAACGGTGATCTAATGGTGTAATCTATGGTAAGCTTATGGAAGAGAAGTTTTAAATACAGATTTCAAGCCATAGAAATGATTGATCACAACTTTAAAGCAAACAAAAGAAAAAGAAGCAGACCTTATATGGAGCAAATCTCATGGCAATAGGATTTTCGCATTCGGTTTCCCCGGAGTACTACAACCGCCTAAGAACAATATTCTTTTCTTGTTTGGGTTTTGTCGTTATCCATAGTTTCATACTTGGTTATCTTCTTACAACATGTCTTAACCATGTTCTTCACAGCATTATCCTTTCTACTACAAACACACAAATACAAAACATTAATGAGTCACTATGATCTTACAGTCATGACTTCTAGCACCATTAAAGCTGTTATTTTACCTGCCTAAATTGAATTCTACCTCACAAAAAGTATATTCAGAAGACCAACCTCCTCACTTGAAATAATAGTTTAAGTATGTATACCATCTGCAAACAAAAGATTCATAGCCGGATTTATAAGAACTCGTATGATTCTAACAAAACGGATAATGATCCTGGTTACATAACAAATTAGCACAAATATTTTTTAGCAGTTGGATTAACTCAAATTGACCAACCTTCTCCACGATTTCTCCAGTCGACGGGAACTGATCTTTACCGGAAATTATTGACAGGTCAACGATCGTGAGAGGCGTTACATGGTTCTGTATCATGGTGATGATGATTCAGCGGCATGGATCTTCGACGACAACATAGTTTCTCTGCTCCCAAACATGGACACATAGACTAATTGCTATGAACAATCAATTTGAGGATGATGATGTTAACGGGATGAAAGCTCACCTTTTATAGCTTGAGATCACCGCCAGAAGATGCATTGATTGAGCGATGGATTAATGCATCTCGTAACGATTTTGGTGAGAAAAAACTCAAACGAAACACCACCAACAAAGCTCGACCCAGAAATTCCTTCGAAGACTCCTCTCAGACACTTTTCCGAACCTTCTGAACCTCTAGTGTTGTTTGATCTAATCAAAGCATCCAGTACACAATGAACCCTAGAAACCAATCGTCAACAAACATAAAGCAGGGAAGCTGATAAGGGGAAGGTGAAATGGGCTGTTTTTTTATTTGTTTTATCAGCCCAAATAACATTAGTCGAAACTCATATATTCTCCTCTTCTGATTTAGTGACGTCATAAAGTGACGTGGAGAGAGGAAAAGAGAGTGACCTTTTCTTTATAGTATAAGATTGTGTAATGTAGTATAAAATTGTTAAAATATGGTATAAATATATATTAACTAAGTATAAAATAAGATGGATTAAGATTTTTTATATATTATATAAAACAGGCTTGTAATTAAGACTAATAATAACAATTTCTGTAATATGTGTTTTTGAAAACGCCTGCAGCTATAATGATGTTGTTCATGGTTTCATATATTTTATAAACAATGAATGAATAGTTCGTTTGTTGAAAAAAGCAAATATTTAGTGTTCAAATATATTTCATTATTAAGATATACTTCCATAAAAATAAATGATATACTCCCGTAATGTAGGGGTGATTGGTGCTTTAGATGGATTTATTGTTCTTTTAGAATATTTCCATACACAAAATTAAATTAAATTTAAATAAGTAATATCAAGAATAAAACTTAAATGTAATGGCAATTCAATGTAAATAATTGCAAAAACTAAGGGCAGAATCCTAATAGGGATTCTGCTTTAATAGTATAGATGAATACTGCTTACTCTTCTGGATATTCTTATTCCCACTATGTGTTTTTTTTCCAAAGGTTTGCAAAGAAACTCTTGGCAGCAGTGGCTGATAAATGGGATACTCATGTCGTCATCATCGAGAAAATCTCCCCTCCAGATTGGAAGGTATAAACTTAACACACTTGAATGTCAAAGTTTTGGATAGCATTATTAGCTGTGAGCTCAACATTTTTTGCTTTTGAGCATCTCGAAGCAGCTTCTTATTTTTGGCTGTGTAACTGTATACCTTATTGGGATGTTGCTGCACCTATTCTCAGAGTGCACCAGCTGGAAGAATACTAGAGTTTTCGATTCTTCACTTAGCAATGTCTGAAATTGCAGTCCTTGAAACCCGACACCCGATTGTCATTAACGAGGTTATCTCTCACTCTCTCTCTCTATATATGTATATCTTTTCCAATGCGATAACTAACACTGTCACATTAAAGGCTGTAGATCTTGCAAAACGGTTCTGCGATGGATCAGCGCCACGGATAATCAACGGATGCCTTAGGACATTTGTAAAGGATACAGCAGCAACACCAAAACCTCAAGCTTTAGAATCAAAGCAAGAAGTGTCGGTTTAAGTTAAGAACAACCCCCGTATCACATTTGGAGGCAGGCAGGCAGACCTCAGATTTTGCTCGTGATGATTCTGGTCCGAAGCCTTTGGTTACTAAGACTGAATCTATCTAATCCATTGCAGCTCAGCATGATTATTGCTAAGTACACAACATGTCCAATATATGTATAATATATACATATATATATATTTCTTACCCAATATATATTTTATGTTTCTGTGTTGTATCATTCATCTTTGAATTTGTATCCCATTTCTTTTTAGAAAAAGAAAGTTGTATAATCAGTTTTTTTTGGTTGCACGTTCCCAACACAATTCGATACATAAGTCCGACTAAAAATTAAAACACAGATATCAAAAGAAGAGGTATCAAGATACTTAATATGTTATGATTGTTCAGTCGAAAAGAATCTGACACGAAGCAGAAGCTGTAGATACAGACGCCAACTCCTTGAGCATCTGATACTTCTCTCCCAAATCAGTTGATAATGGAGAAAATGTCGCCGTCTTTAAACAAGTAGCATTCTTTAGTACATATGCTGCCATCTCCCTATCCACTCCTTTGTACCCGAACCACTCAAAAGCCTCGAGACTGTGCAGTAAACACTCTGGAACAGAACTCGGCGGCTTCCAACCAGTGGGGATATCTATGCCGCCATAGACAGGCAAACAATTAACTCTCTAAAGACCATGGACATTGTTAACAGTCAACAACATAGTCAAACACACAATATTAAAAAAACTCAAACCGGATAAAAAAAAGTGTATTTAAAGAGACCACATACACCAATGAGTTTGAGGGATCGTAGTTTGGGACACTCTTGGAGCATACAAGTTAGTAGATCCCACGAACCTACATCAAATGTAGGCAAGTCTAGATGGACAAGCTGGTTGAAGATTATACCGAAAGGATTCACAACCTGTTTCAGTGTGCAACTCCATAAGTAATAATATAATTATATTGAGAGGAATATTACTAGTTTTTCTATTATTAGTTTGTTATTACCTCTGGAAGTGATATGAATAGCTTAAGATGACGGACAGAAGCAAGAGCTTTCACAAACTTGCGGGTAGTATCTCCAATAAACATAACACGTGCCGTTACCAGATCAGGCATGTTTTCAATTTGACGGAAGTTGCAACTTGCCAAATCAGTAATATCAAGGTACTTCAAAGAAGGGACGTTTAGCACATACGTCCCACGTGTTCCAGAAGTTCTATGGGACATATGTAGCCTTTGTAAGGAAGGCACCACGACAGTGATATCCATTGGTGAGCGCTCAAAACCATGTTTCACAGACAATCCTTCAAGATTTGGACAACCGGACAAAAGTCTTTGTAGAGACTTGTTGTCTGCGTAGGTGGCAAACTTAAGGCTCAGAGTTTTGAGAGACGGGAGACGAACGTAAACCGGAACATCCAGAGAACAGCATTGATTAGTGTCAATCTCTGAAGCGTTTCAGAGGTATATACACTACTTGGCAAAGTAACATCACCTGTATTGGACCAAGGTATATCAATATGCAGCTCATGCAGATGGCGATTAACTGTAAGATTAATCCATATTCCAATATCTACAGGACCATTATTGGATGAACATATATCAATATGCAGCTCACGCACATGGCGATTAACTGCAAGATTAATCCATTGTCCAATATATTCAAAGGGACAGTCAGGACCGAGACTCAGATGCAAATGTTCTAGAACTGGTGCCTTGTTTGATAGGAAATACTTGTGAACAAACTGCGTGAAGAGCTTGTAGTCACCATTGTGATTGCTATCGTCGTATCCGAGTCCTGGAACTAAAGTCCAAAGATAACGCCATCTCTTGGACAAAAGACTTGTGGCCATAACATCTTTTGTCTTGTTCAGTGACAATATCCGCAAGAGCAAATCATCCGGAAGATGACTGATGGTAGTCCATGCAGGGCCGGCCCTGGGCTAAAGCCCGAGAAGCCAGGGCTTTAGGCACCAAAATCTATAATTATTTTAAGGGCGCCAATATTACAACGAGTCTTTTTATCTCAGTGGTTTGGATAGTTCCTCTTGTCACCTAGGGTACCAAGTTCGACGCCCCTTCCTTGGTTTTTATATGTATATATACTATAGTAATAATAATAGCAAATCAAGATTTGATCCAATAAAACGATTTGGTTACCTTTCTTTAATAGACTTGGTTTCTTTTATTACAAATTATATTAAATGATATTAAATAAGGAATTTATTAAGTAACCTCTAATTATTTTTTTAAAAGGAGACATTCTTCTTTTTGGCATCTAACATTTCCAATAAAACATTTTTATATTCCTTTTTTTCTGTTGCAAGTTTTTGTAACTTAAAAAAAAAAAATATATGAACTAATAAATTATCTTAAATTGTGTCCTAATATTTTATGAGACATTTCACAATGTAAACTTGATGTTTATGTTACATGATTTTATAATATGTGTCGCTATAAAAATATATCATTTTAAATTTTTAAATTTATAAAAAATGCTATCAAAAGGATAATTGCTAATCAACCAAACGAATTGTTAATAATATCAATACACAAAAAAATACTTGATTATTCAAAGTTGATTAATGATTTTGAAAAATAAAATAAAAATTATTTTTAACATAATATTTCTTTTACATAATATTTTTGGAAAGCAAATAAAAATCTAATAATAAGTTACATTATTCTGTTCAAATACTCAAAAACAGTATAATTTAGTTATGATTAAGGGCAAAAAAAATTTCACTGCGCTTTAGGCACCACGTAAGTCCGGACCGGCACTGAGTCCATGTAAGAAATTAGTCTACGGTTAAAGCCTGCAGATTGGAGAAACCTAATGGGGTTCATACTTCATAGTGGAGAAAAGAAAAAAAAAAACAACAATAACAACAGTTATGGAGATTAGATTACCCTTGTAGTTAGCTAGGAGAGGGGATGATTCACAATCTGAATAGTCAGAAAAGTTTTGATCCTAATGCAAAGTAGATTAAATTTTTCTCAGCAAAATTTTAGTATTTAAAAACAATTACACCAATACAAAAAAAAACAGCTGTGGAAACTCTCTTGCCCTCTGCTAAAAAGCTTTTTAAAATGAAACAAATCTCACATTTTTGTTCTTACTTTTCTTACTTTAGTTTATTATATTATTCTTTTTTTTTGGGATGGGGTTGCAAAATTTTAAAACAAAAATAAAAAGTAAATATTTAAAACTTCAAAACAAAAAAAACTATATTGGTCATTTTATTTTTTGATTACTATTTTTGTGACAAAATGTTTTAAAAAATTATTTAAGAGAATTGTCATATGTATTAATCTATTAAATTAAAGTCTTAAGACTTCTTATTTATGATTTTTTATTTAGATATTTCCCTAAAAATATCAAGCTATACATAATTTAATTATAATATCTTTAAATATTTAATAGTTTATTTGAAATAGACTTCCTTTTTAAAGTTCTAACAAAATATCTTAAAACTTGTATTTCATAATTAATTAATTTAAATTATCATCAAAATATTATTTTCATTTTAAAATTAATTCAGGTTTGATTTAAAAGCAAAAATTAAAGTCTTATCATATTTTAACTATATTTTACTAAAAATGACAATTTTTTAGTTATCTATTTAAGATGATTTTCTTCTATTTGTTAAATGTTCATTTTTTAATTTCAAATTCAGATAAAGCTATTCCACCAATACAAAAAAGGACAGCTGTAAAAACGTTCTCTTGCCCTCTGCTAAAAAGTTCTTTAAAAGGAAATGAATCTCACATTACTTTCTTAATTTTCTTATCTTATATTTATTATATTATTATTTGAGATATTTATTATTATTAATCTATTAAATTAAAGTCTTATGACTTTTTATGTATGGTTTTTATTTTGATCACTCCTTGGAAAAATTTCAAGTTATAATAATCTAATGACAATATATTTTAATATTTTATTTGAAATATAATAACAAATTCCTATTTGAAATTCTAACAAAATATTTTAAAAATCTTTAAAGTTTTTTTTTTGTAACTAACTAATTTAAATTATCATTAAATATAATTAGGAATTAAAATTCATTCAAGCTTGACTTAAGAGCAAAAATTAAATTCTAATTATATTTTACTGATAATGACAATTTAACTTATCATTTATTGAAAATAATATTTAAAATTATTTTCTTCTATTTTTAATAGACATTTTATTTCAAATTGAAAATAAAGATATTAAAATATATCTAATTTATTAAATTATAATTTATTTTAGATTTCATGTGTCATATTTTAATTTTAGACTTTAAATACGGGTTCATCTATAATATTTAGATTTCATGATATAAAGTATTTATTTCTACATGTAATTTATGAGAAATATATTTAACTAATTTTAAAATAATCTTTGAAATGTATTTTGAATTTTGAGATCCCTTAACTTATTCTAAATATAAACTTTTGTTATAAAATATATATATATATATATATATATATATATATATATATGAATTGTATACATTGCAGCTCAACATGATTATTAATTGCTAAGAACACAACATGCCTAATATATGTATAATGTATTTCTCTAATATACATATATATATACATATATATATATATATATATATATATATATATATATATATATATATATATATATATATATTCTATGTAGTCGCTTCAATGTTTCTTTGTATCACCATTCTTCACCTTCTCTCATTTTAAGGGAAAATTAGATTCTGACTCCCGCAACCGCGCGGGTTTTATTTTCATTTTTATATACATAAATGTTTATTTTACATTATTAGTAACATTAGTAATATATTCAATAAATGTTTATAAAATTATTACAAACACAATAATTTTATAGTGCACATGTTAATAATAATTGTTTCAATAGTTTCTTACTATATAATTTGCACTTGATTATTAAATAAACTAAAATATGCATGAAAAAACATGTTTGTCTTATTTTATATTTAATTTATACTAAATTAGTAAAATTTTATTTTTATTTATAT